CCCCCCCCTCTTTCAATGTGTCAGTCGGTTACCGTGTATAGAGATGCCATGGTCTCGGGCCCCGGCGGGTCTGTCCGGGCCAGCCGGGGGGAGCTGCTGGGAGAGAGGCGCTGTCACGAGCAGGCTGCTGGTGTTGCGCCGCCCTGCGGGCTTGCGGGTCCTGCTAGGGCACGGGGCGTGTGGCACGGTGTAGAGAGACTCTACACCGTGGCCTGCAGCTGCAGGCCTGCTGCCGCCCGCTGCGCTGCGCGTTGATCGCCTCAGTACGACCCCCGCTGCCGCCATCCCCCGTGTGCCCGGCGCCGCGGGAGAGAGTGACGGCAAGAGGAAAGGAAGGGCTGATTGGCATTTGTCAAAGTGGTGCAACCCCGGAGCCGGGCCGGTCGTGACGCAGGGCAGCACGGCGCCCCACCCCCATCATGCGCTGAAAGCTGAACTATTGCTCGCGAGGTGGGAGGTGGCGCTTTGGCTGCCGTGTCACCAGCAACCAGCACCAGCACCGGCTGGCCAAACAGACAGACACAACTGATGGTATGCGATTTGCTTTAGTCGTCCGAGTCGACCCAGCCACACTGTGGTCTTCGGGTTAGTGTCTTGACGGCCGAATCTGGCTATCTGGCGTTTTGGTTGGCGTATAAGGCCGAACGGCTCCTTGAGCCAAGGGATCGTCCCGGAAAGTACGTCCGTTTTACTCAGGGCCGTCCGGCAAATTGCGGGAGCTCAGACCTCAACGCCTGCGATGCGCAGGGTAGGCCACGCCGCAGTACACACATGCACTGCAGGGGAGGTACTGCCTACCTCCCGGGCGCTACGAGAGCTTTCACAGGCCGAACTTGCTAGCCAATCAGAACTCTAGATAGCCAGCTTCGGCTGTCACGCAACCCGCAGTCTAAAGTATCGCTAGGAAGACTATCCTCGCTGACTACGGCGCCCCCGGCCGGAGCCGGAGGCAACCCGCTCTCACGCCTGCATGCGGTGCGGTACAGTATAACTGCAAAAGTTCGTGCACTGAGAAAAATATTTCTGTCCGGGCACTAAACGTACGTCTAATGCTCCCGACTTTTGTC